CAGCCCCAGCCCCAGCCTCAGCTGCAGGCCCAGACCCAGTTGCAGGCCCAGCCTCAGCTTCAGGCCCAGCCCCAGCCCCAGCCCCAGCTGCAGGCCCAGCCAGGCCAGAAGCCAGACCTCGGTCTTGGCATCTGCCAAGTGCAGCAAGTAATTCTGGGGCAGAGTTCGTCAAGATCTTGCAGCCTTTCCCAGCCCCAGGAGCCAGCTGGGGGTGGGCTGGGCCAGGTGCACCCTTGGGCCACAAATTGGCTTCCTGGGTCTTAGATGCCCTGGTGTGAGGGTGGAGAGGGAGCTGTTCTGGAAAGGGAGGGACCCGCCTGCAAAATGCACCAACCCCCTGCCAAGCTTCAACCACCACAGCCACCACGGCGCCCACGGTTCTCTGGGCCCATTTACCGCTCAACACCCACCCTCGGTGGCAGGAGGGGCCTCCCCCGGAGAGGATGTGGTGAGGCGGGAGGAGCCTGGAAGTCAGGAAATGCGGGCTGGCGCATTGATTGAGCTCCTGCCAGCTGCCTGGAGCTGCGCTGAGCGCTCTGGGCTCCACCCCACACCTTCCCCGCAGCCCCTGCAGGGCGGGCGCTCCACCCCCCGGGCCTGTGAGGAGACCCTGCTCAGATCGCAGAAGTGGCTTTTCGTGGGGAGGGGAGGAGCGTGGACTCCAGCCCACGTGGGTGGACCCTTCCTCTTTCCTCTGCTCCTTCCCAGAACCTCCGATATCACCTCTATTTTGTATCCATTTTACCAGTACTCATAGCCCTCGCTGTGTCCTGGGCAGATATTAACTCACTTAATGCTCACAGCAACCCTGAGGAGTGGGTCCTATGCACAGGCCCACTTCACAGATGGGGACACTGAGGCCCAGAGAGAGTAAGTAACTGGCTCAAGGCCACACAGCTGAGAAGTGACCGAAAGCAGTGGTGGCAGCCACGTCAGGGTCCTGAGATGAGCTTTCCAGGGGCGAGAGGCTCAAATCAAGGAGATTCCAGTTCTCGGGGATTCTCTCTGCTGATTGGATGGGGACCCTGTGTCAAGAGGGGATCCTCAGCGCTTAGGGGCCGCTGCCTCAGTCCCTCACGGCCCCACAGCCCTTAGCCACCGTGCACACATAGGCCATTCCAAGCTGGCGGTCTCTCATTCAGTCAGTTAAACATTTCTCGGCCACTGACTGTGTTCCAGGCACTGCGTGAGCCTCGAGGTGCAGCTGTGACCAGAAGAACCGGGACTTGTGCCCGCTGTAGTGGGGACACAAGCAGGAGAACGCTGGGTTTTAAGAAATAAAACAGGGACAGGTGGGGGCTCTGTCACTCAGACCTCAGGGTCTCCTGTATTTTGGCCCCCGCAGGCCCCCGAGCGGCCCACGGTCTGAGTTTATACCCTCCCTGCCCCCCGTCCCATGCGTGACTCTCCCTCCCGTTCTCTCTCACAGAAATGGGTGGGCACGCCCTTCACTGCCTCCAGCCTGGACCTGGGCCCCTGGAGCCCAGGGGTGCCCTCGCCCTTGGAGATGTACAACTGCTGCCCCCCGCTGAGTGCAGCCCAGGGGCTGGAGACCACGCTGCTGCCCGCGCCTGCGGATCTGGTGGAAACCGACAGCGCCCCTAAGCCCGAACCCGAGCCTGAGCCGGGCTACTGGGGCCCTGCCCCCTGCACTGGCAGTGCGGGAAGCTCAGCTTACAGCCAGGAGGGGGACCGGCCCTATGGCCTGGTGTCCATCGACACGGTGACCGTGGTGGGTGCAGAGGAGCCGTGTGCCTGGCCCTGTACCTGTGGGGAAGATGGCTACCCAGCCCTGAACCTGGACGCTGGCCTGGAGCCTGGCCCGGGCACCGAGGACCCGCTCTTGGGCCCTGGGGCCACAGTCCTGTCCTGTGGCTGTGTTGCAGCTGGTGGCCCTGCCGGGCTGGGGGCCCCCTTGGGCGGCCTCCTTGACAAACTGATGCTGCCCCTGGAAGATGAGGCAGGTTGGGCGCCAGGGCCGCCTTGGGGTGGTGGGCCACCCGGAGGGGTGTCTGACAGCGAGGCGGGCTCGCCCCCCGCCGGCCTGGACATGGACACGTTCGACAGCGGCTTCGCAGGCTCTGACTGCGGCAGCCCCGTGGAGTGTGACTTCTCCAGCCCCCGGGACGAAGGGCCCCCCAGGAGCTACCTGCGCCAGTGGGTGGTCATGGCCCCTCCGCCTGCAGGGCCGGGGCCCCAGGACAGCTAGTGAGGCTGATGGCTGTTCAGAACTGGTTGTGCCCCCGGGCGGTGAGGCATGGGCGCCTGGGCTGTGGTGGGAAGAGGCCTGCAGCCTTTGGTCTCCCAGGGCCCTGAGCCTGGAGTTGATGCTGTGTGTGTGTGGCTCAGGGGCGCACGGCGTGTCTGCGTGTGCGAGCAGCACGCACGGGTGTGCACACGGCGGCAGCCTCCCTCCCTACAGGGCACATGGGCTGGCCCCTGGGTCACATTTGAGAATCTGGTCCAGTGCTGCCCACAGGCCTCCTGGGACCAGGACACTGCCTGTGACAGACACCAAGCCCCGCCCCCGGGGCCTGCCCCTCCAGGAGCCGCAGGAAGGCCATATTGTTCCTGATCAGGTGGGAAGACCTGGGGACAAGGAGAGGCCTGTAGCTAGGTCTGAGCCTTGACTCTGACGCCTCCTGGCTGTGCCACCTCGGGTGCTGGTCCCCGCTCTGGGCTGGGACTTCCTATCTGGACATGTGGATGGCGCTGCCCTCGGGGAGAAATCAGTGCAGTCACCCACCTAGTGCGCAGCCCAGAGCAGACCCTCAATAAACGTCAGCTTCCTTCCTTCTGAGGCGGGACCGAGGCTTGTGCTGAAGGTGGGTGGGGGCGAGAAAGCAGCCACAGCCTGGGCCTGTGGCCATCCCCACCCTGCAGAGGGGCACTGCGTGGGCGGCGGGGGGGAGGGGGTAGGAGGTGTTTCCGGGCTTAAAATCAGTCAGCGTTGTCTCTTCAGACAGCCTCCCACCCACCAAAAATTGTTTTTCTGGCTCCTTCTGCCCATATTTAAATTCCCTTTATGCGCCCAGGAAATATTTATTGAGCACAGTGTGTGCTGGGCATTGTGCCGAGTGCTCGGTACAGGGTGGGAGCACAGGCCCAGGGACCCCCTTGGCACTCAGGGTGGGGACAGGGCAGCGGGAGTTGGCAGGAAGGACACAGCACTCTCATGTACTCGCTTGGGGAGTTAGGGGAGTCACGTTCTTGCTGATGATTTGTAAGTCTGTTGAAATGTGAATTAAGAAGCCAAGAAAACAGTTCTCAGCCATGTCTTGAAGGCACGTCCTGAACATCATTTTGCACAGGCGGTGATACAAACGCTGCATATTGCACTCTACTCGTATTTTTAAAAAGAAAATGGACTGTTTTCCCCTGAAGAGCCTTGACCTTTAGAGGTGACTTTTCAAGACCATCCAGATGATGAAGGCAGCTGGGAGGTGACTCAGAGGCCACTCCAGGGCCCTGAGGGGAATCCCCACCCAGCCTGGAACCCCACTGGGACCCCCGCCTGTTACCCTCCCCGGGTTGGGCCAGGCTGCAGGGCCAGGCCTGAAGCAGACAGCTCTGGCTCGTCTCTCCTTTTGGGCAAGTCTGAGCTACACGTTGGTCCATCTGAAAGCTTCTCTGTGACTCATCTGTAAAACTGAATGGTTGGGAAAAGTCACTGAGAGAATACCCGTGGTGTGGAAAGTTCTAGAACATTATTAACCTGGATGAGGCTGTTTGTGGCTCAATGGCAGCACAAATGTGAAACCACAGCCCCTGCATATGTGTGAACAGCCCTCACCACCCCACCATCACCCTGGAGACACCTGAGCCAAGGTGGGCTGTGGTTTTCTCACCCTCTTGGGGGCAACAGGTTCCAGGAGCCACCTGGTCCCCTAGGCCAGCTGCTCAGCTCTCCACACACACAGCTGTGTGCTGGGGGAGGGGCAGGGGGAGGGGAACTCCTGGGGCTGACTGACGCCAGGTCCCAGGGTCCGACCGGGGCTCTGGCCTGGGCCAGACATAGCTCTTGACTGACTCCATCTTTGACGGAGCTCAGATCATACACATGGGTGCAAAATGAAGACAGGAGCGGGCCCACCTGGGAGGATGGAGGTGTAGGAGGAGGCTAGATGGCTGGACCTATAGGCACATTGGTGGGTGAATATGGATAAGTGATGGAGAGACAGATGCAAAAGCTGGAAGAACAGTTCGATGGGTGGATGGAGATAAACAGATGCTAGAGACAAAGGTGATGGAGCCAATAGATGCTCCATGAGGGAAGGACTATTTTGTTCACTGCTTTCTCCTGTCTGCTACATAGGAGGCCCTCAATAAAGCCCGATTTGTAGCGTTTGCTCATTTCCATGGTGTATATACGTCCACCATGGCCAATTTCAAGTACCAACGTCATGGCCACACATGGAACTGGGAAGGGGTGTGCACTACTGACTCTCCCAGCTGGGCCAGGCCGGCCCTGGGACGCCAGGGATGGGAGCCAAGAGGGGCATCAGAGGGGAGGGTGGGGGCTGCAGGGAGGATGTGCTGTTTGTTGAAAACCAAATAGGAATTGTTAGGTGCACCAGCCTCCAGGCAGCTGGAGGAGCTTGAGCAAAGGCCTGGAGGTGTGACCAAGCCCTGAGCACCTGGAGGTGGGGGAGGTGGTCTTTGTCACCCAAAGTCCAGGCCAGAGTTGCTAATGCCCTGCTCTTAAGAGACAGGAGGACTGAAGCAACACCCCTTGCACAGACGCCACATTCTGCTTCGGGCCCAGCCCTTTTCCATCGCTGGCTCTGAAGCGAAGGTGTGGAATGGGCCGGCGACCTCCTGAGGTCGCCCACTAAGTAAAGCTGAGTCAGAACCTGAGCTCTGGTCTCCGGATCCCAAGTCCAGCTCTTCCTCACTGTGCTCTGCTGGTAGGGACTGAGGTCAAGAGGTAAGAAACTCAGCGGACACCTGTGGGTGCTTCTCCCTGTGCAGCACCCTTACGGGGATGGCTGGCTCCAGCTGTGGAGTGGCTACGCACCCAGGCCTGGCCAACCGAGCATTCCATCCCCCGCGGCCACAGTCCCCGTCAGGGAAAGACATGTGGCCCAAGCTGGTCTATGCACCTTCTCCTGGGATTGCTGAGCTGCTGGGGGCACCAGGAGGAAACAGGCCTCCCAGCACCCAGGAAAGCGGACTTGGGAGACGGCGACATAGCCCTGGGAATCTCTCTTGAGCTCCTGGAGCCAGCCATGCCTGAAGCCACAGTCCCCCGGACCTTGAGGTACATGAGTAGGGAAGGCTCCAGGCCATCCCCAAGCTCTTCCCAGATGGTTCTCAGAATGCTCTGAGCCTGACGCGGCCCTCTGCCAGGATTGGAAGAACCCCAAATTCCAGCTTCCCACCCTTCCTCCATCGGTCACTGGGAGCTCTCAGCCGGGGCTGCCATCTGGCTGTGGCTGTCCCGGACGCCTGCTGTGGGAGAGGGAGGGTGGGGGCAGGGCGGGGGGTGAATCAGACCTGGCCCTTCATGTTACCCTTGACTAAGGAGGCCCAGAGGGCAGTGACCTGCCCAGAGTCACCCAAGGCTGTGAGCCTCACTCCGCGTGCTGGGCTCCTTCCTACCGCCTCCTGCTGGAGGGAAAGCCTCTTCCCTACTCCCATCCGGGACGCGGTTCCCTGTCTGGCTGCTGGCACCCTGTGCTCAGCCCTTCACGGCCCATCCCAACGACACTTGCCCCAGATGCACCATGGGAGTCAGGAAGAGGCCTTCCCGGGGAAGGTGAAAGAGCGAGCACATGCATTTCCGTCCCAGGAGCCCATTCCTCACACCAGGAGTCAGAAGTCTAAGTTCTCAGCAGAGAGGGACACGGGAGAGGAAATGAGAGGAGTCCAGACTTTGCTCACACGTCACCTCAGTGGGACCTGCACCGGGCCCCTCACTCAAAACGGCAGCACCCACTTCCCTGGTTTCAGTTTGTCCCACACTCATGACACTTTGACTCATTTATCGTCTTGACTCTGTCCCACTAGTGCAGGGGTTTTGCTTCATTCACTGCTGTTTCAGAGTCTAGGATAGCGTGGCACGTAGCAGGTACTAAACAATATTGAATGAGTGAATCAATAGCAGGGTAGTGACCGAAAGGCAGTGGGCTGGGAGGCCCCAGACCTAGGATGCCACAGGATGGGAAAAAAAGATGAAAACGGGTCTCCTTGGGAGTCTGTAATGGAGCGAGCCCCTCCCCCACTGCTCGTCCCCTGGGGTAGCTGTGAGTCTTCCCCATCCCTACTGGCAACAAATGTTTTCTTTCAGAAACTGATGGCCCCAGAGGAAAACCCTTTGCACTCTGCTACCTAAGGGTCTCCCCGAATAATGCTGGCTCCCTACCCCAGGGTGAACCCTGTCCCTGGAAAGTGGTGTCACGGAAGCGACATCTGAGGCAGGAAGGTCGGAGCTGGAGAGCCAGCAGATCCACTTCCCAGCTTCCAACTTTGCAGAAATTATTGGACCTCCTGGGGCCTCAGTTTCCTCAGATGTGAAATGGGTACACTGATTGGACATACTTTTTGTATGCCTGCCTGTTGAGACAAGTGCCAGATACAGTGTCTGGCACATTTCAAGTAAGAAAATGTTATCACTTTGTCAAGATTTTTTGTGGGAAAATCACACCACCCCTGTCAGCTTTTACTGCGCTCAGCCTACAACCTGGACGAAGGTGAAGCAGCAGGAACAGATGCTGGGCTGCTGCTCTGCTGTCCAGGGGACTCCACTTGCATCTGCCGGCGCTGTCGGGTGGCGTACAGAGGTGGCCCTAGACAATTGCCACAGCAATCCTCTGCGATGGGGACATGGTGATGAGGACCAAGGTGAACTGGCAGGCTTTTTTCTTGAATTCAACAAGGGCTGACTTCTCCTTGGATGGGTGGGCCTGCACTGGGCCCTGGGCAGTGCAGGTGGTGAGATCACTAAGGGGGGGGGGGGAGATCACACGGGTGCACACACCCCCATGCACAGATACACACATATAGGGATACATACACAGGCACACGCACATTTGGAAAACCCCTGGCAGAGTGGGTCAAAGGCCTAAGGAAGGATGGGTGGTCAGCGGAAGAGAGAGGACAGAGATCACTCAGCCCAGGGGCGTGGGCGGCCCGAAAGGAAGAGGGCGAAGGAGGCTGGCAGCAGCAGGGGTGGACGGAGGGAGGGATGGAGGGAGGGGGCTGGCTGTGGAATGCGCAGAGGTCGCCATAGGAAAGCCCCATCGCTCCACTTGAGGTGCATCCTCACCCCATGTCCAATCTCCCCACCACGTGCCCGAAGTGCCCCCCACCTGGGGCACGGGCAAGGCAGCGAACCGCCGAACCTGCCGTGTGCTGGCACTCGGTGTTCTTCAGCCCCTCTGCCCTCCCGGGAGGGAGGCACTGAGTAACGAACGTTCTGGGATGCGAACGTCAAGATGCCCAACCCACCTTCCTTCTAGCACACGACGCATTCCCAAATCACCAGCATTGGCAAGTATTTGATGTTTATAAAGCAGACCACATCCATAGTCCTACTTGATCTGAAAAAAATCACCCCAAACACTGCCCTTTCACACTTGAATAAAAATGAAAAAGGAAGAAAAAAATAATGCTAAGACTTGGCCAGGCTTTGGCTGTGCTGGGTTCACCCTCAGGACTCCAGACCCCATGTTCCTGTCGCTGGCCTTGGGGTCAGGCCTGGAGTGACCAGGTCCCAGTGGAGGGAGGACAGCAGCACAGGCCTCACGCCCGGCCAGGCCAGCGCCGCAGGTCAGATGTGCGCAGGGGGGCATGTTGTGTAAGGAACCGACGCTTCAGTGGCTGTGAGGCCAGACCCAGGTGGGGTCGTGCTGACTGGGGTGTGGGGGGCATGTCCCAACTTCTGACCTAAAAAAATGTGAAACCAATTTTTTTAAAATGCTGGCAACGAAAACAAAAGAGCTTCCATGGACCAAACCCCCACTCCAGGCCTGCGAGCTCGGCCGCGTGGCCCGGGTGGGCCTGCCGCACACCTGCACGGCTGCTGCTAAGGAACAGCCGGGCCAGCTGGGGAGGCGGGCGGTGCAGGTGGCCGAGCTCAGCCACAGCTCCCTCTCCTCCGATTTCACTGGGAACACCCACTCCCAGCTGTGAAGCAGCTGAAGACAAGGACTCCCCCAGGAACAGACTCTTTAGGAAACACACAAAACTAAATGTATTTTACTTCACTGTAATTGAACAATAAATAAACACATGCCAAACGATTTTTCTTTCTTTTTTTAAATGAAGAAAGATGTTGAAAAATGAAACAAACCCCAAACCTACAGAATCTCTGGGTTTCTTGCCAGCAGGAGGGCGTGTCCACCCAGCTGGAGGCCTGCCAGGGGGCTTCCCAGGCTAAAAAGGGGCCTGCAGGCTCCTCTATTGGGGGGCCAGTCCCAGCCCCAGGGCTCAGACGTCCTGCCTGGACAGGAGTAAGTCTCTGCGGGGCCCGGGGCGGCAGGGCTCACAGCTCTATTCTGTGACGTGTCCCCACAAGGCCCCAGTGCTCAGGGGCACTTGGGCTCCTGGGAGCCAGGGAGTTTGCCGTGTGCTGGGATCCGGGACACAAGGTGTGCACGGACAGGGCAAACCCAAGCCCAGAGCTCAGGACCCCCACAGGCCAGCAGCTGACAACTCAGGTCCATACAGGAGGCTCGGGGCCCAGACAAGTAGCGCAGTTCCTCAATGGCAGACACCTCGGAAACCTGTGGAGAAGTTTGCTGGGGCCTTTCAGACTCACACCACCCAAGAGGCTTCAGAGAGAACAGCAGGCAGCTCACTGGCAGCAGAAACGTGTCTGCAGTGACGGCCAAGGCCCGGCAACAAGAGGGAGAGCAAGGGCAGGGGCCGAAGTCTCCATGCAGCCGCTCCCTACAACTCCAGGGTTCCCGGGCCAGTCGGGCAGACAGCAGGCGGGTGGTCTCTTCCTGAGTTCCAGGCCACCTCAGGGAAGGCAAAAGGCCCCTCCCCAGGGGAGCTCGCCCCCACCCCTGGAGGCAGCGCCTGGATGGGAGGGGCCTGGTGGCCACAGGTGCCTCACAGGTGGATCCACTTGTTCCAGTTGACCTCGTGGGGGAACACGCGGCCCAGCCGGAGGGTGCAGTCCAGCGTGGGCTCATAGAACACCATGCAACTCTCGCTCAGGCTGGAGGGCGGCTCGGCCTCTTCCACCACGGGTTTGGAGAAGAGCGAGACGGCCGTGGGCTTTAGCAAGCGCTTCTTAATGCAGCCGAGGAATTCCAGGCCCTGGAGAACCAGACACACAGGATGAGAGGCGCATTTATGGACACGTCTGCTCCTTCCCAGACAGGGGACACTGCATTGGCCTTGAGTGACAAGTAGGGACGTATCACCAGCATTCCCCTGGGCCAAGCTGCTTCCAGATGGGGTTTTGTTTGGCCGACACATGCTTCAAGGCTCAGGAAATTCCAGTTTCCACTTGTGAGGAGCTGGAGCCCCTGGGCACACATGGCCGTGGGCACAGGGCGGGGATTGGGCCCGCGGGGACACAGCTGCCCCCAGGAGGCTGAGGCATGTCTCCAGCTCTCCCTGCCACCCACAAGGGCTCGCCACTTGTCCACCAGGCTGCCTGTGGGCCTGTGAGCTTGTGGCCCTCGCTAGAGAAAGGGTCAGAAATAAGAGCCGGGACTCCATGTTTAAGCTGAGCAGCAGCCTGGGGCCGGTGGAGGCCGCTGGGAGTGCCAGCCGGGGCAGGGACCCAGGTGGCTGGGGGAAGAGTGCTGAGCAGAGCTCGTGCCAGGGTGTCAGAGGGCAGGACACAGGCGTGGGACTTGTTACCAGCAGAGCTGCCCCGGAGGGCAGACCTCTCAGTGCAGGGCTGAGCAGAGGTGAAGCACGTAACAGGGGGACACCCGGAGCAGAGGCTCTTCTGAGGAGCCTGGCGCTCTGCCAGGACGGTGGGCCAATCTCTGCATCTGTTGCCCCATGTGGGTGGCGCTTTATGTGGCCGCCGCACCCACCTCCCCATCCTTCTGAGACCCCCAGGAGGGGCGCACCTGGAGCAGCTCGAGCACGGCGATGGGCTGCAGGACGCCCTGGTAGTGCTGCAGCAGGCAGCTCTCCGGGATGCCAGGCCTGCTCATGATGTGGTACAGCACGGCCTCCATCATGCCCTTGCACACCGGCGTGTTCAGGTGGCCGTCCACGATGCGCCAGGGGCGGCTGATGAAGCAGATGCTCTCACAGTCCCTGCAGGGTGGGCAGGCGGGCATCAGGCTTGGCAGGAAGGGGAGGTGGCCCGCTCACACGCGGCCCCCAGTTCAGACGGGACACTGAGGCTCAGAGAGGTCCAGGGTCTGGCCCAGGTCACAGGCTGAGGATGGTCTACCTTCTGCTCTTCCCCGCCTCCACCCCTCCCACCTGGGCAGAGGGGTCCCAACCCCAGGGCCCATGAGCACCGGCCGAGGAAAGAAACAGTGTGGGACCTGCTCAGACTCAGCCGCAACCACTGGCAGGGAGGGAGAAGGGCTGACTTCCGGGTTTCCCTCTCCAGTTGGGCCCGGGCCAGCGGCTGCCTCCACCCAGGCCAGGCTCACAGAGGTCTCACTGCAGCTCTACTGTGTCATGTAGGGGCTTCCAGACACACTTTCCTTAGAGCAAAGGTTCTGCTGACCCTAACCCAGTGACTGGTCTGCCACTCGGGCCCAGGTGTGGGACAGGCTCTGGACCAGCTGGACACCCGGCTGTGGCTGGGCCCTGGGTGCACGGAGCCTGAGCTCTCGGGAGCCAGGAGCACACGCATCCCGTCAAGCTGAGGCCATGCACACAGGTGGGGCGACCCTCACTGCGAGACAAACCGGACACTGCACATGCCCAGCAGGCTGGCCCCGTCGCTGACTCGTCCCCCAGGGAGCCCGACCACCAAACGCTCCCACACATTTCCGTGTCCCCGGCCGAGAACCCCTGTGCTGGGCAAACTATCCGATACTGTGACAGGCCTTCACGTTATCATTACTGTGGCCTCCTGTCGGGGACCCTAAGGACACGCTGCCCAGTCACTGCCGCCCCAGGCCTCCTGACTGGGCCACTCACCGTGCTGCCCGGGAGACACTGCCGGCCGCACCACTCTCTGCCGAACCTGACAGAGGGAAAGGACGGGAAAGGACGGGAGACTTTAGAGGGTGGAGCCTGTCTCTCCCACCCCATTCACTCGACAAGTACTCCCCGGCTGTGGGGCGTCGCTGTGAAGGAAGGGACAATCCCGTTCCGCACGGAGCCCCATCTTCCAGTGGCGGCCACGGAGGCCGCAGCCAGCATACCCAGAACCAAACTGGGATGGACCGTGGGTACCTGTGTGGGTTTGTTCCCAGAGCCCAGCGGAGGCGATCACGCCTCGTCCTCCACCAAGAGCCCTGACCACAGAGCTGGTGTGTAAAGCCCTCAGAGAAACAGCCCCAAAACAAAACATCCCAAGAAGCCACCTAGGAGGCCCCTGCTGCGATGCGGACAGGGAAATGGCAGGGTCAGCCAGGGCCAGGCCTGAAGGAAGGGGGCACCTCCTATTTCTGCCACTGCCCCTTCCACCGGGACGTGGAGAGCCTGCTCCAGGGCCACCAGCCTCTGCCGGGACCCCAGGCCTGCTCAGGAGCTGCAGAGCCCCCTGCCCTCGAGTGGAAGCACTAAGTCCTCTCCCTCCAGGTGAGCCGATGGAAGCTGAAGTAAAGGTTCCCGGTCTCAGAGGACGGGCAGGCCCAGGGACAGAGAATGGACGGGCGGGGGGCCGGGGAGTGGAACAAGGTTCTGTACCTCTCGCGTCTTCCGAACCCTCTGGGGGCTGGGCCTGACAGCTCAGCTGCTCTTGGCCTGTGGAGCCGGGTACCCTGACTCCCTCCTGGTCCTCCTGTCTGGCTTCTGATGCTCCTGGGAGGGGGTCCCCTGCACCTGTGTCTTCAGGAGCTACAGGAAGAGCAGGTGCCGGCGTTTCTGCCCCCTCCTCTGCCCTGGGGCTGGGGCCCAAGCGCACGTCCTGGAGCGTGGGCCTCTTGGCTGGGGGCCCCTGGGTGCTCTCGGGGTCGGTCTCCCCGCTTGGAATGACCGGGTCGGTGCTGGCCCAGCTGGCACGCCTCTTGCTGCCCTGGGAGCCCTGAGAAGGTGGTGCCTGCCTCTCAGGGTCGTCCTCTCCGGAAGGCCCCTCCGGGGGTTTGGCCTGGGGGTCTTCTCTTTGAGTTTCTGTGTCCTCTTCTTTCCCTCTCAGCCGCACCGAGTGCAGGAGCCAGGGCTGGGCAGAGGCCATGGTCACCAGGCGAACGGAGTTGCCGCCGACTTCCAGCACCTGATGTCGCTCCAAGAGGTCCTAGGAAAAGCAGGGGACACGCTGGGTCTGGGCGGGACCCCAGATCATCAGGGTCTGTGTCCCCTGCCTGATGTCCAGTGTCCTGACCAAGTGCCCAGGGCCATCAGGCAGAAACACGAGGAGGAGGCGGGGCTTCCAGCCCCAGGCAGCCACCAAGCGGGCCGTGTGGCCCTGGGGCAGTCCCTTCCCTCTCTAGGCTGTGTGCCTGTTTGTAGAACAGGTCAGATGCGTGAACTGCACCCTCGAACCTGATGTGACATTACAGGTCTCCTGCCGGCTAGCGTCCTCCCACAGAAGTCAACACTCCGAGCGTCACCAAGTTCTGCAAAACCCACTCTTGTTCCACACGAACGACAGCCCCCTCATTGTCTCCTGTGCCCTCCTCCCAAGTCCTTGTCCTTACCCAGGAGCTGCACCCTTGGAGTGGCACAGGGTGTCACCATCATCTTTCTTTTACATTTTCTATTAAAAACCCACAATTTGGGGCTCACGGATTTGCCTGGAACCAGCCTCTATCAGGCCTAGTGGGCCTGGGGAAGGTTAGCAGTGGGCACTCGCCCTCGGGCCTCTGGGCCAGGCACCAGGAGCTCAGGGAGCCCCCTGAGCCATCCCGCCCCCCCACCCCCCCGGCTCCAGGTGCACCAAGATGCCCATGAATAAGCGACCCCCACGGACAGCAGTTGTCACCACCTCTCCCTTCTGCACTCGCACATGTAAGAACTTGTTTAATAACATGCTACTGCCTTCCTCCTCCTCCTCCCCCAGGACACTGCGAGGCAGGCGTCTCCGAGACATCACCACTGCCTCCCACTACGGACAGTGCGAGGAGGGCAGCAGGCCCCACGGCACTCCATTGAAAAGGCCCTTCTGTTGCGACAGTCTTGGGTTTAAGGGTCACTGAAGCTAATGGGTCCAGGCAGGTAAAGTGGTGAGAAAAGGGCTCCAGCCAGGTGGGTTGAAGGAGCAGGGCCCGGTGTGGACAGACCTTTTAACAGTCAGGAGAAGCTGGGTTATAGGCCAATCTCCTATTTTTAAATGGTGACAACGAATTCAATTTTTTAAAACATTACACGCTACGCCCCACACGCAGCGCACCCGCAGTGTGCCCCTGGCCTGGGAGCCGCAACTAGTGCTTCGGCTGCCCCAGGCTACCTGCGAGCAAGCTCACCTGCACGTAGTCTGTGAAGGTCTTGGTGCGCTCACCATCTGCCCTCTCAAAGGCGGAGAAGCGTCTCCTCAGCTCCGCCTTGTCCACCCCAAAGCATCCCGTGGCCGCAATGGCCCCCTGGACCTCCAAGGCGGCAGACACGTCGGCAGGTTTATAGCCAGACAGCGCCACCTGGTGCACAAACTCTTCCAAGCTGCAGGTGTCCTCCCGGCGGTGGATCAGCCTGGTGAACGTGCCAGGGAGGCAGGAGGTTCCCACTGTCAGCTCTTCCAGAGCAGGGGCTGCAGAGACAGGAGGACGAGGGTCAGCCCGCCCCAGGCCAGCGCATCAGTTGTACCGCAGCAGGGCAGCTCCACCGCAACTCGCCGCTCCCAAACCTCCACGGTGGACACGGTGGGCCCCTGGGTCCTTGACTGCAGCCACCAGAGCTGGATTCCTGCGGGGCCAGTATAATTCTCCTGCTCAAGGCTCAGAGGCGGGTGGGGTCCGAAAACTGTGACCCCAGCGTTCTGGAGGGAGGTCCTCAACTCGCTGACCCTGGGCCCCACCCTTCCCGACACTGTGCTCACAGCCCCTCAGAGCCTGTGAGAGACTCGGACCTTCCTAAGTCCCTGCTTTGCGTAAACTAGCCGGGCTGCTTTCTGCGAAGGTGCCTCTGCTAAGACCACAGTCTTAGGTCAGCTCTACCCTGCCCGGGTCCAGCTCCAGACAAAGCACAGGATACTGACTGTGGTTATGAAAACAAAGGTAACACCATCCACCTCAATTTGTAAAAATAAAGAAGGTCAGACAGAGGCAGGAAAGGGGTAGGAAGGAGGACGAGACATGCAGGGGAGGGAGGGCCCTAACATCCTCGCTTTATGCCAAGGGGAGAGACTCCCTAAAGTTGAGGGTACAGGAAACAGAGGCCCAAGTCAGTTATTTGAAGTTTCAAAAGTAATCAATGGAACTAAGAATAAGTCTAAAAATGAGGAGTAAAGGAGGCGAGAGATAATGAAATGTAAGGGGAATACTCATTTTTCACAGCAAGAACTCAAAATACTTAGAAGTTTCATACAAATGCATCATCTGGTTACAAAGGGAACCAGAAGAAGAACTAAAGACAGAAAAAGAGAAAAAGCTGCCCCGCCTAACAGGCCAGGCCTGGGGCGTGGGGGCAGGGCTGGGAGCAGGTGCGTGGGCGATGGCGAGAGAAGGCAGCGCAGCTGGGGCTCCACTGACTGGCAGCAGGAAGGCATCTGGGAAACGTGCTTCTCAAGTTAGCCAACAGGCTGGGAGGTGCTTTCCTTCTGGCCAGCTTGGCCTACAGAGCTGGGAAGTGGGCGTCAGGGCCTGGGGCCAGGCCGGGCCAGCGCTCACCAGGCCCCCTGAGCTGGGTGGGCGTGGGACAGCACTGACCAGGCCCCCTGAGCTGGGTGGGTGTGGGGCAGCGCTCACCAGGCCCCCTGAGCTGGGTGGGGCAACGCTCACCAGGCCCCCTGAGCTGGGTGGGTGTGGGGCAGCGCTTACCAGGCCCCCTGAGCTGGGTGGGGCAACGCTCACCAGGCCCCCTGAGATGGGTGGGCGTGGGGCAGCGCTTACCAGTGGACCTGAGATGGGTGGGCGTGGGGCAGCGCTTACCAGTGGACCTGAGATGGGTGGGCTTGGGGCTGCAGCGGAGCCGGAACCTCACGTGGCAGGAGTTCACCACGATGCTGTCGTTGGGGTTGAGGTTTCGGGTGCTGACGATGCCGGGGGCACAGTAGCCCTTCATCAGCAGGTAGTTGGTGTGGGAGGCCTGGGGGGCCTTCACCTCAATGCTCCGGCGCTTGCCCCCCGGGTCTTCGTCCAAGTCTTCCTCTTCGTCCTCATCCTCTTCCAAGGCGCCGTCCTTCCCCAGGCTGGGAGGAGAAAGTGCCCGATAACCGAGCTCAGGCCCTGCCCACCCGCTGCCCTGCTTCCCTCCCGGGGCACAAAATCCCAGCAGACAGTGCCTGTGACCAGGCCTGAGCTTCAGCCGTGGTCCCTGTGGACACCCCTGGCCCTTTGCAAGGCTGTTCCTTTTGCCTGAAAAACCTTTCTAGTCTCTGTCCACAAAAATGCCTACTTCCCATTAAATCCCAGTTCAGCTATTACACCATCAAGGAACTTGTGCCTCTCCCTCCTTCTCTGTCAACCCTTCTTGCCACTATACCATGTCCTTCCCCCCTTTGGCACAGCAGTCACGCCCCTGGCTCCCCTGGTGCCAGAGGCCCCAGCAGAAGGGCCTGCATTGATGTGGAACTGGAATTACCAGTCCGAAGGCATCACTTACGCTCTGCCAGCCAATGCCCAGTGCTGACACAACACGGGAAAAGCCAGCACGTGCTTGTGGCATGAATGCAGACCAGGTGACCGAGCAAATAAAAGTGCAGACGCCACAGGGATGAGGAACATACGGCCGAGGCGCAGCCCTTACCTCTTAATGACCTCGTTCTCCACCATTGAGCTGTCCACCACCACGATCTGCTCGGGGATCCTGACATCCACGGAAATGAGGCCCAAAGAGAAGAGGCTCAGGGCGGCCACACAGTGTCCCCCAGGGCCGTCCAAAGAAAATGCCACCAGGTCATCTGGGGAGTCGTTACTATCCTGGTCTTTGAAGGAAAAATTATCAGGCTGGTCCAACTTGCCGGCAGCCCGGATTTTGTTGAAGAACTGGAACGATTCGGTGCAGATGGTGCTCGGAAATCGCCATGTAAAGATCCTACAGACAGAAGGGAGGGCCTTGCTGAGGACGGGGTGGGAGCCCTCACCTGGAAGCTGTGCGCACTGCAGACCACTGTGGTCCAAACACACGCCGCTTCCCTTCCCCTCAAACGACAGCACCGCACTTCAGCCCTCGGCGTCCCTCCTCCCCACTCACCTGAGCACCTTCAAGGCAGGCCACGTCTTTTCATCTAACTCTGTGCCTCCCAGGCACTCACTATACAAGGTGCCAAATTGGGGCGGTGATGTACTTTTTGTAATAATCTTTACACAAGGCAAGCCCTGAACCATACAGAGAGGAGGGGACATGCGTGTGCTCAATCCCACCATCTCCAAGGGCGACTGTGGAGAGTTAAGCCCTTGCCTCTGCCCAAAGTCAACCTTCCAAGACACTGTCACAGCAGAGACAGCAGGTCTAGGCCAGAGGGAGGGGCCCACAGGCCTCCTGATCTGTGACCACTGCTTCTCAGCTCACAGATGAGAATGGGCTCAAGGTCAAATGGCCTTGTTGGACTCGTCTTCTGCCGCCCAGGCCACTCTCCAGAAAGGAAAGGGGACCGAGAGCCACTAAGGATGGCATTTAGGGAAGGAACAAGTTAATCCTCAGCTTGTTGTTCTGATTCTGAATGCAGCCACTGCACGTCTGAGGACTGGTCAGGAGGCCAGCATGGAGTGGGGAAGCCAGCCCGGGAAGAGCTGCCACGGAGAACTCCCAGGACTGTTAGAACGGACTTCCTTTGTGGTTAAGGAGGCTGGGGGTGCAGAACGCCAGACCAGCCAGGACTGTGGCCACGAGTGAGCTGAGGGGTGCTCCTGGCAGGAGGGGCCCCAGGGCGGAGACCCTCAACAGTGCACCCCAGCGCTCAGGTCGCTGCTGTGCTGCGGCCGGCTGTCTGAGCAACACCTGACGGCTTCACAGCCCGTGAGCCTGCAAGATGGGCAGCTGTGCGCCCTGAGTGAGAGGACCAGGGACGGAGATTATGCCCAATCAGAAGGGTGCACTTTTAACCGGACCAAGCAGTACATCAGAAACTCGTCTTATCCAATTTGACAGGACAAAGGGAGACCACCGGCAAGAGGTAAATGCCCCAACACAAAACACCACTAGTGTGAACCGTTCGCCCACACAAGCTCAGCATCTGACATGGGCCCTGCCCTTCCCCAGGCCAGACCCGGGGCTCCTGCGTGGTGCTCACTTGTAGTAGCTCTGGGACAGCTGGTAGGACATTGGCACGAAGGGCAAGGCCCGGTTTTTCTTTGGGCCCAGCGTGTGGTTGACGCGGCGCCGGTTGACCAAGCTCCTCTTCTGGCACTCCACGAAGGCCTTGCACAGGATCTGGTCCTTATACTCCTGGTACAGGCGGAACGTCTGCAACACAGCGAGTCGGGGGTGAGCGGTGGGCAGGGGCACAGCAGGACGGGCAGGTGCTTAGGAGCCTGAGCCAATCGTCTGTAGGGGAAGCAACTGGCATGGGGACTAGGGGCGGGGAGGCCAGAGCTGACACTTAGGGGTGTGAGGGGGAGCCTGTCAACTTCTACCCCCACCATCATGTCACACCTGAGACCAGAGAAGGACAGGCGACTGGAGAAAAAGGAAGGCTCTGCACCCACACCTGTTTCTTAAGATGCAAAGACACCAGGAATCAACGCAGAATCACCAGGGATCCGCTGGCCCAACACGTCCTATGTCTGGGGGCTCTACTCCTAAAATATGTTCCCAAGTGTATCTGGTTCGTGCCGCCTACATTGCCACCACCGAGTTCACGCTGCCATAGTTTCTCATTGCAGCCTCCAGCCAACTGCTGTCCCTGCTTCCACATGTGCTACCTCCTCCAACCTGATTATTCTCCACAGCAAACCAACCCTTGGATGCCTAGGTCACACATGTGTCTGTACCTCAAACCTCAGGGACTCTCCCTGCAGGTAGAATGTCCACCCTCTCTATGCTGGACAAGGACCCCTGCGAGCAGGACCTTGCCCACCCCAGCCGCACCCCCTCCCAAGTCCACCTCTCATCAAAGCACTGGATTTTGGAGGTCACCAGGTCCTCTGCCCACACTTTAAAGATGAAAGAAGTGAGGGCCAGAGTCTCAGGAGAAGTCAGGGCCCTGCACCACACAGCGGAGAAGAGAATGAGCAAAACCTCGCATGGCACCGGCCTCTGCAGGGACCTGGTCCCGAGCCTGCTGCCGGGTCTCTCTACGCACCTGGAATGACTGGCAGGACTTCATCTGGCTGTCGGAGAGGGCCAGCGTGCTCTGGATCAGGTTCTGGAGCACCAGGTAGTGGATGTCATCCATGCTGAGAGAGAAGGAGCAGCACAGGAACGTGAGGCCACAGAGCATCGGGCAAGCTCGGTAGACAGAGTTCTTATTGAAAAAACATTTCCGATCTCACAGAAGTGACCTGAATACCCAAACTATTTTTAACCAAAACAAAACGCATGATGGGCTTTAAGCCTTACTAACTGGTCAATTTTTGCAGGAAAAATGTGTCAGCCTAGGGAGTAAGGGGGGTGACATAACCTGGAAATAGGTTTTCATGACAATTAACAAATGTGGTTAATTGCTTATATGTTCTTTTCACCCAATTTTAAACAAGTTTTTCTCTAAAGGGAATAGGCTTCTCACTGAAACACAGAGTTCAAATCAAACTGAATATTGCTCATCCAAGACAGGGAGAAAGCTGGGCTTTCTAACTACTTCAGCTCAGGAAGCTCATGGGCTGAGAGTTCAGACCCTTTCCCCAGCCCACTTAAGCCCAGGCCAGTGACACTGGAGGTCAGGGGTCAGCAAACTTCTCCTGTAAAGGGCCAGATACATAATTTAGTCTTTGTGGGCTATCTGGTCTCATCGCAACCACTCAACTCTGATGTGCTGATGAAAGCGGCACAGACAATACAGAATGGGCATGGCTGTGTTCCAATAAAACTTTATATACAAAAGCAGGGGGCAGGCTGGAGTGGCCCTAGATGATCCCTGTGTTAGGCTGTAGGCAACCCAGTCAGATAGCCGAGGAAAGGCACTCGGTAAGTCAGTACTTGCCTATTAAGTTTGTCCTCCTTCCTTCCTTGATCTTTTTGGTCTCCAATCACCAAAACTCGGTATCTGCATAAGAAACAACAACAAAAAAGCATGTCCATGCAACATAGCATACCTTCACTAACCGAGCTGCAGCTGGCTCAAGATGGCCATTTATTGGCTGAAATGTTTAAAAAATGTTAAATTTGAGAATATCATGCTAAGCAAAGTCAGTCAGACAGAAAAAGGCAAGAACCATATGATTTCATCATATGTGAGATGTAAAACTGAAAGCAACAAATGAGCAAACAAGAAAAACAAACCAACAAAAACTCACAGACACAGCAACAGTATGGTGGTTACCGGAGGTAAAGCAGGGGGTGGTGGTGGGGGGAGTGGAAGGGTAGTGAAGGGTAGAGGGGGTTGATTTGACTTTGGGTGGTGGGCACCCCAGGCAACATACAGACGATGTATCATAGACTTGTACACTTGAAACCTATATAATTTTATTAACCAATGTCACCCCAATAAATTTGATAAAAATAAATTTAAAAAATAAGAAAAAATGTTAAACTTACTAAAATGAAAATATGTTAAAATGAGAAAATACTATGTTCTGGCTATCAAATGAGCATGTAAAAAAAATGAGGGTTGAAAAAATGAGGAATGTTCATTTATGGACAATTATGAAGCGATACAAGACAATGTTAATAGGCAGGGAGCTACTGTTAATTGTTAAGGGAGGATATAAACTTGTGGGCTCATTATGATTAAAAACAAGCACAAGAAAGAAGACTGGAAGAAAATACCCAAAAACGGAACGGCTGTATGAGGTGTTGAAATTACAGATTTCTTTTTTTTTTTTTTTTTAAAGCTACAGAGAGGTGCCAAACCGGTTTGGCTCAGTGGGTAGAGCGTCGGCCTGCGGACTGAAAGGTCCCAGGTTCGATTCCGGTCAAGAAAATGTTAAACTTACTAAAATGAAAATATGTACCTATAAGTTAAAATGAGAAAATACTATGTTCTGGCTATCAAATGAGCATGTAAAAAAAATGAGGGTTGAAAAAATGAGGAATGTTCATTTATGGACAATTATGAAGCGATACAAGACAATGTTAATAGGCAGGGAGCTACTGTTAATTGTTAAGGGAGGATATAAACTTGTGGGCTCATTATGATTAAAAACAAGCACAAGAAAGAAGACTGGAAGAAAATACCCAAAAACGGAACGGCTGTATGAGGTGTTGAAATTACAGATTTCTTTTTTTTTAAAGCTACAGAGAGGTGAACAGGACATGTGAATATAAACCGTGCTATTGGGCACAGTTCACTGCCATTAAAAAAACCAAAACTCCCAAATAGCTCAAGGGTGTCAACCCTGGAAATGACTACGAATCCGTGGACCTGGCATATAGCAGCCCAATATAAATTATTTGCTGATCGTATGAAAGAATAAAATCTCCAACAGAATCAGGTATTGGAACTAATCGATGAATGCCATCTCCTTACCGGAAGAAACTCAGAAATAAATTTTCCTAGAGAGACTGTATTAATGAAGATGGCGAAGAGCAGGTTCCCACTGGGATTAAGCAGAGGAAACAGGTGTGGTTCAGACACAGGGCTTTACCCAAGCACGGGGTTCTGTGCTCAAACCCAAGCACGTTTTCTCCAGACGCCAAGTGGCTGAGTTGGAAACTGCCAGAGCTCTGAAGTCAGACCCACCCAAGTTCAAATCTCGGCCCTGTTGCTCACAAGCACCGTGACCTTGGGCAAGTTCCTTACATCTCAGAGTTTCCCTGTATGTAAAATGAGCAATGTGCATTTTTATATTTTATTTATTTTTTACCTTATTTTATTTTATGAGAGTAGAAGGGGAGGGGGAGAGAAACATCAATGTGAGAGAGACACAGTGATTAGTTGCCTTCCACACCCGCCCTGATTGGGGCTGGGGGTCAAACCTGCAACCCAGGCATGTGCCCTTGACAGAGAATCGAACCCGAGACCCTTTGGTGTGTGGTCCGATGCTCTAACCACTGAGTACACGGGCAAGGCTAACATGAGCAATCTTAGCAGAAGCACACCGACCAGAATTAAGTCAGCAGCAGGGCTGAAGGGAGGATGAATGGGAGTGCCGGTAGTGGGGCAGTGGCCTCCCAGCTCACGTGAGATGAGGTGGCCCAGTGTCAGGAAAGCCAGCAGGCTCAGCTGCAAGGCCACGTGCGACCACTGGCCCGGGGCTGGTGACATTTCCTCTTGCCTCACGAGGACCACACTGAACTCCCAGAAGATACTTACCTGGCAAACAGCTCCTGGAGTGTGTCTGGGATTTCAAGGTTAGGATTCTTTAAGGAAGAGCTAAACTTCTTTTTAAGCTTCTCCACGAATTCTTTAAACTCGTTGGCACACACCTTTTAACGCGAGAGAATGAGGTGTTAGGACTTCCTCCCTGAAGGGCGGCTTCAGTAGAGATGTCAAGGACAATCTTGTAACCAACTCCCCCGGCAGCGGCCGCCCAGAAACACTAACTGAGAAGTGCTGTCTGCCCCGCCTCCGGCTCCCCGCCCACCGAGTCCACCTGGGGAGGAGGACACACCGACAGCCCTCACAACTGCACTGGCAGCTCTGCCCTCGGCCCCAGGAGACCCCAACTGTCCACACAGTCCCCAGGATGCCCCCCGTGTCCCACCCCAACCCCCAGCAGCAGGCCTGTACCCCATCACCGCCTCCTTCCAGGTCTGCTCCTCCCTCCCTCACTCTGTTTGCGCCCACCTCCTTCCTCTCCTCCCCGCCTCCAATCAATCATGGACCCAAACCAGTCCCCTCTGTACACCTGCACTGTGACCATCCCATTCCAGACTGAATCACAACACAGCCCCCTCACTGCCCTGCCACCTCCAGTCTCACTCCTCCAGTTTATCCTCCATGGTGTGGCCAAGAAACCAACCATGTGTCCAACCAGGATGAACTCCCTCCCTCCCTGCGGCCCTCCCAGCACTACAGCCACGGGCCACCTCAGCCCCCTTCCTTCACGGCCGTGGCCTCAGCCGCCCCTCATCTGAGTCTGGGCTCAGTGCCGACACCTCCGGGAAGCTCTCCGCAGCAGATGCCGTTGGCAGCCTACTTCCTCGTCCCAATCTTTCTCAGGAGCGGACCCAGCTCCAACCGGGTTTGGGGAGGATGCACCCTCAGCCCAGCTGGATGAGTCAGGACAGGTCTAAGCCAATGGCGGCAACCTCCGGGGTCTCTGGGAAAGGCTGGCCCTCCATGACACAAGGCCCAGTGGGCCCAGTGCAGCCCCTCCCCAGTTCTTTTCGCCCTCGGGTTCTGCTGTGAGGGGCTGAGCTCCAGTCACAGCAGCGACGAGGGGACTGGCCTGAGGATGGAAAGGTGACTGCCATGGACTGGAAGTGCAGTGACAGAACGGACCTGCCTCCCCCGCCGGCACCTGCCCACACTGCCTCCTCTAGATGGCTTGGCGTACGGGAAAACAAAGCCTCAAGCCCCCGAGACAGTCTCTCTGTCCTTGCATCATAAGCACTTCTGGTTCTCCTTCGGACCTGTGCCCTCCCCTCAGGGACTGCACTGTTCTGCGCAGCCCACTACCCCATGGCTTCCTGAGGGAAGGGCTGGCCCTCCGTTCTGATTGGCCTCGCCTGGCCAAGGCCTGACACACTCAGCAGAGACTGGTGTTAGCTCAATGAGCGAGGACGAAGTGGGCTCCGAGCTGAAGAGCAGAGACATCTGGATCTGTAAAGACAGGCACTTCCTTGTCAGCCACTGTGCCAGCCCCACTCAGAGTCTCATCTGCAAGCGTTCCAGGAAGACTAGCTGCTTATAACTTCTGCAGAGCTGCCCTATTTCCTTAACAAAATAGGCCCAAGGCACAGCAGTATCAAAAGAAATTTCAATCGTTTGCTGTTGATATTTGGCTCTGTTGACTAATGAGTTTGCCGACCCCTGGCCTAACCATAAAGCGTGACTTCCTTATACACCTCTTGTGTGGTTATAGCTTGTAAAAACGAAGGATCTGGGCTTAGCCAAACCTGATTCAAGCCAGGCCTGAATCAGGTTACACCTTGATTACTGCTCAGACTTTACACCTTGGCTTCTCTGAGCTTCTGTCCTCCATGTGTAAGCTGAGACCAGTGACTCCAACTGCCCTCCCAGGAACTTGGCCAAGACCAAGTGAGACGACTTGTGTGAAAGTGTTCCGTAAATTTAAAAATGTTCACACAGGCACTGGTGCTCATTATTGCCAAGAGCTCCAACGTCCTCCCCAGCACTGTCTGTCCGCTCCACAGACCTCCAGACACCAGGATGCAGACAGCCTGACTTGCCCAGAGGAAATGGAGGAAGAGGCAACAAGAGTTTGCTGGCCTCTTATGAGCCAAGCACTTCAACCTGCATAAAGAGCCGGCAGAGAGACTGTCATTCCACTGTAAGCGCGGAGGGACGCCGGGGTCACACATGTGCCGAGCCCTATTGGAATTACGATCCTGTTCCCAGGCGAGGAAATGGCCTGAGTGGAGAACCCCATCCTAGATCGCACCGTTCTCACTTCACTGCCAACTCCCTGGGCCATGGACAACTCATCTACTCTCCCTGGGCCTGTTTCTATTCTGGAAAAAGGAGAGTTTGAACCAGGTGATCAGAACACTTTCAGATAGAAAAGTTTAAGATTCTGTGCACAGGGGACAGTGGCTTCACATGGTAAAGCCCCTTGTATGTGGAACCCAACGGCTCCAAACTGGGCTGATTTAC